AGATGATGTAATATTTCTTACTAGTAAAATATTTTTAACCTCAGACCTTTTTTTAACCTTGGATTTTTATTTCATTATTTTTGTGGCAGGTAGCCATCATACAACGCAAGATATTTGACAGATGCCTCAATCTCGCTTACGACAATGTCAAGATGAGCTTGCATATATACAAGTTCTGAACAACATTTGGACCGTCGATCTACCAAGCAAATATCAACAGCACAGTGGAAGACTTTCCTTTCGTCGTAAACCTCCCCAAATTATCATACACAGAAATATTACTGACTTGATTTTTTTTTTCCAATGATTAAGGTCAAGTTTTTCATATGAAACAAAGAGTGTGAGTTGTGTCAACAAAGGGTTCTTAGGTGTTACATTCAAGTAAAGGGAAAAAAAGGGTTTGATTAACACTCTCATATAAGTCAATAACTAACCTGTATCGATGGACAAACACAGATTTAAACATATAAGACAGCATATTCTTAATCTCCTCCATGTTCTCCTCTAGTTCTTGACGTTTAGCAACCAGTACTTCAAGGCGTTCAGTGGCCCGCTTATCACGTGCCTTCAATCTTTCTGCTTCATATTGCCGAAGACAGTTGTCACAATTTACACTAGTTAATAACGCCACATCAACAAGAGCGGTCATTAGCTTCATTACTGTGGAAAACAATATCTAAGTAAATTTTCATCAATCAATCGTGTGTAATACAATAACAAATTTGAGCATGGGTATTATTATTATTCCCTTCCTCATTTCTGTCATGTAAATTATCATGCATTCCAATTCGAAAGGTAAAATGTAGTGTCTATGATTTCTTGTGACCATTTAATACAAATTTAAATAAGCCATGAGCTCACTCATTTGCCTCAATTCACTGTTTCATGTAATAAAAAGAAAACTGATCACATTCTGTAGTTTTGACAATAAAAATTCAAAATTATGACAAGACAAAAACCTAATAAATTACTGAATGCAAAGTGTGGTTTTTTGATACAATTGAATTACACTATTAGTGTAGATTTTGTAGTAAAGGTGATCAACACCTTAATTGTATGCCCACAAAAACTCTAATATACTTACAACAAAAAAGTAAGACTTAACTATAAGAGTAGATTTAACTGACAACAAAATATTGTCACTTTTTAACTCAAAAGGGTTTTTTTTTATATGCAATCTCAATTAATTGTACAAGAATCTCACCAGCTAATGTTGCAGTGTGACGGAAAGCTCGTACTTGTGAGTCAGACAGCCCAGTGAGTAATGAAATGATATTGTCCATTAGATATTGATCATAGATGATGGAGTATTGGCACATCTTTACTAGGGTCTGAATGAACTCACAAAAGTTGGAACGGAACTTCTTCCAGGTTTGACCAGTCATTATCAGAGGATATTCACCACTTTCCTGATGAAATAAAGATTATGTACTTTATTTATTTGCACAAACATATGAAAACAAAGCAATGTAAAATTTTTAGATAATTTACAAAATTTGTGTTGGAATTAGTCAAGAGAAGCCATGCTGGCTTTAATTTTTTTAGGATAATCTGGAATTCTATAAAATAATAACAGTAAATACAAATAATATAAACTAATGTTAACTGACTTAAAAAGCCTCCTATTTTTTAGTCAAAGGGTTAAATTTAATATAAAACAGGGTAAAAAAATTGTCATTCCATCAGTTACCTCATCAAATTCNAATTTGTGTTGGAATTAGTCAAGAGAAGCCATGCTGGCTTTAATTTTTTTAGGATAATCTGGAATTCTATAAAATAATAACAGTAAATACAAATAATATAAACTAATGTTAACTGACTTAAAAAGCCTCCTATTTTTTAGTCAAAGGGTTAAATTTAATATAAAACAGGGTAAAAAAATTGTCATTCCATCAGTTACCTCATCAAATTCCTGTGTCATTTTTTTTATTATTAGTGTGTGATCCATCTGTGCCATATCTGGAGAAACCTTCCCTCTGCAACCCGAAGAGTTGATGAAGAACTGCATCAGTTGAACTAAAGCCACTTCACGATTTGTTTTGTACTCCTCTATCCATTTGTCTACTACTTGCTGATTAAGAAACAAAGTAAATTCTTAACAATCTTCTCTTATAGTAAATAAAATAAACAAAAAATTTACAATGATATATGCTGAAACTGAACAAATTAAAAAAAATAGCTTACTGAGCTAATTCTTCTGATACTATGATACTACTAAAAAAAATTAACAGTGGTAGGTACCACATTTTTAGCACTTAACTAATGTGTTTTTTCATGACATTTAATGTTAATTTATATTGAAATAAATGATTTATATGTGAATGTTTCAGTCTTATGATACAATTTATGCAAAGCCTAATGTTATTTTTTTAATGCGCAAAGTTAAATATCATTAGAATTATAATACATGTCATCTTAATTTTAAATGAATGGCCTTACGTTTATTGCGGTCTTGTTGAACCTCAAAATATTATATAAACTGTTTTCATCGTCTCCAGGCAGGAGCACCGGGGGTGGAGAATATGCTGGGGGTGGAGCGGCACCTCGTCCTCTGCCACGACCACGGACACCGCGGCCTCGACGTCGTATAGGCGGTGGCGGCGGAGACTCCGCCAATCGCCCCACATAACCACCATCTGCGCGTCTACCTCGACTTCGAGTCACCCTCTTGGGGGTCGGAGATGGAGACCTCGGTTCCTCTTCCTCGTGATGCGATTCTTCAGCGTCCTCTCGTGGCGCTTCCACTGCCGTCGAGTTAGCCACTGCACCAGTATTAAAGCCACTATAGTTCACATTAGGCGTTTCAGGTTCGTGGACAGATTGGCCACCATAGTCCGTCATAGGAGTAGCCGGAGTCATAGGATTTACATACTCCGGTGGAGGATCGTCCATCCGTATACGTTTCCCGCCTCGACGATGCATCTTAAATCGATTTACTTCTAAAAAAAAACTAAAAACTAAACTATCACCACACTTTTTCTCACATGAGTATTTTATATGGACACTAAAAAAAACCAAATTCCGTTGTTTGTTGTATAATTCGATTTTATTGAATTTCGAAGCAGTACAACCAAGACACCATTATTAAATGAGTAAAAGAGAGGGAACAAAAACTATCGATCAATAAACGACAAAAGCGACGCAGGGCAAACACAACAACCATAGATATTTTTTTTCAATTTTTCCTTATTAGGAAAGGCAAGCGAATCTGTGCCCATACAGCCTTTTCTGTTCAACCATGGATTATGAATGGCGCTCTCACATTAGGTATTAGATTTAGAGCTCCGTATTATTACAATCGCTAGATTTTTAACTATTAAATTCATTGGATATTTTAGGAGAAACGCGAGCAAAAAAGATATTTAAAAAAAAAAAAAGTGTGTGTGTCCGCTCCGACGCACGACTGGAGTTTACTGGATATAAAAAATTAAACGAAACAATACGAGAAATAGTTCTATATTACGACAACACGATACACTACAGATTATTAACAAATTAACGAGACACAAAACAAACGACTAACAAATATATGAAAATACAATAATGAGAGAAACGCGCGATCAGTACGAGGCTTTGTGGCGGACTGCCGGCGCAGCAGCCCGGCGTCACCTGCGATAACGCGGCCGCGCGTTGGCTCCTGATTGGCGCGCGCACGCATCACGCAATCAGGAGCCAATCAGGCGCATAACGCATTTCGTGTGACATGCTAGTACGATTTTGGTCCCCATAATTTTCATACCCCGGGCCTATATATGTAAATCGATTCTAAAGGAGTAAACTCCAATAAGGTAATTTAAAGTTAGTTTAAGTTTGTCTTAATTAAGAATAAATAGATTATAAGAAGTAAACATAAGACTCGGCTTAAAGGTCTCAGTACCAAGTCATAAAAGGTTGGAATAAATCTATGATTTAATAGAAAAACATAAATTTATAATACAGTCTGCGTCTTTCTTTAAGGTTTTCACTAATTTCCAAGTATTAAAATAAGAACTTTTATTTCATCCTTGACTAATATTTTACTGGTTTTTGTGTAAAAACTCTATTAAAACACAAAACCAATCGGAATTAAGAATCTGTCTAGATGTAGCTTGCTGTATTTAACATAATATGTCTTAAATATACATATTATATTTTAAGATGATTTTTAAAACTACGGTCAAAATTTTTGAGAAATGCTCATTTGCATGGAGTTATTGTAATAAATACCTACTAACTCTATGAGCATTTGACAATGAATGGAATCATAAATGATACACATAAATTAATTGATGGAATTTTATTTTGAAAACTGGCAGTCAATGGGCAGTCATGGCATTACTAAATTTATTAATTTTTTGGCGGGAACGCGAGGAGCGAAGTTGTGTGATTTGTTTTATTTGTCTATTTAGTGTTTCTTCAGATTTAAATGTGTATATAATTACGGTGGTTTATTAAATGGTTAATATTTTTTTATTTTATTGCTTAGATGGGTGGACGAGCTCAAAGCCCACCTGGTGATAAGTGGTTACTGGAGCCCATAGACATCTAGAACGTAAATGCGCCACCCACCTTGAAATATAAGTTCTAAGGTCTCAAGTATAGTTACAACGGCTGCCCCACCCTTCAAACCGAAACGCATTACTGCTTCACGGCAGAAATAAGCAGGGTGGTGGTACCTACCCGCGCGGACTCTCAAGAGGTCCTACCACCATATCATCTCTTTTATTTAATTTCATCCCAGTTGATAAATGTCTCATATTAATCATCTTAATTTCATGTCTTTTCACTCCATATTATCATTTTTCACAAAAATAAGAATGTAAATAAAAATGAGACATGACTTAAAAGTCTTAGTTTACAGGTCATAAAATCCCATAAAAATTAAACAATTTTACCACTAAAAGTTTGCCATACTGGAAAAAAGGAGCACTGAGTGGCAACAAAATTTTGATCTGTCATATTTTGGGTTGGATATTTTGGATCCTTGATATCTGATTTATTAAAACGAATAAATTTGTAAAATGGCCAAAAAAACATACGACTTGTTATTCAAACTGCTTCTCATCGGTGACTCCGGAGTTGGAAAAACGTGCATATTATTTAGGTTCTCAGATAACCACTTCACAACGACTTTTATTTCGACGATAGGTAGGAACCACCTTGTTATTTTCTTATTTTCCTATCTTGCACTCGTGCCGGTAATAACTGGAGATTTGGGTTCATAAAATATTAAAAACTGTACTTATTCAATAATAATTGAACAATTCTTTGAACGTAACGTAACTACTTTTACAATAATTTCAATTTTTAGGTATCGACTTCAAAATAAAGACAGTGGAATTAAGGGGTAAGAAAATAAAGCTCCAGATATGGGACACTGCTGGGCAGGAGCGTTTCCACACCATCACGACGTCGTATTACCGCGGCGCTATGGGCATCATGCTCGTATACGACATAACAAATGAAAAAACATTTGATGATATCGTTAAATGGTTACGAAATATAGACGAGGTTTGTAACAACAAATATGTAATGACTCATTTCCTTCACATTTCGTTATTTAATCTCTATCAAAGAACCTAAATTGAATAGTCAAAGAATGTGAGATATAAAACAAATTCTATTAAAACTGTGTGACACTAGTGAAAAAATTAATCCCCTAATTTGGACTATAGCTCAAATGCTAAAGTCACTAGTCAATATTATGTAACTGCAGTACTGAAAATAGTTACCGCACAAGTTTTAGACAGAATAATGATTGTAACCACAAAGCTGCATTATTGTCAAGTTACATTGGTAATAAGTTTGGTTTGAATATATAAATGAAATGAAAACAAATTACAATGAGGTCAAAGTTCTTGATTAAAAAACAATTTAATTTGATAACTAGTGAACCAAGGTAAAACTAGTATAACTTAACTTATTTATCTTTTTGTGTCAGTTCTCACAAACAAAATTTTACTTGTACTGTTAATTCTTAGCATTAATAACTCTTGTAAACTTTCAACAGTTATTCTTTGAGTTGCATTAGTTCTTGCAACAACCTTAGTGTTGGTCTAATTATGATCTGTGATGCTTACAACTCTGAAATATTGAGTGAGAACTTGCTATAATAAAATTTTTTGGTTGAGACACATTTAATAATAGCAATATAAGTAACAGTAAAAAATTGTTATTGAAATGTTACTTTATAAATGTGATTTGATATGAGACAATTTAAAAATTATCTATGCACAGTCTCTGTGGCATTGAGAAAATATTAGTATTGCTTATTAACAGCAAGGTCACAAAATATGAACATTAAAAAATAACAGTAATTTGTTAAGCTTAGTAAATTATTGCTATTATGGCATTATGTTTACTGAAGGTCTACAAGATTATATTGACAAAAAATCTTTTCTTTAGCATGCAAATGAGGATGTGGAAAAGATGATACTTGGCAATAAATGTGATATGGAGGAGAAACGTGTTGTCAGCAAGGAGCGCGGTGAAGCAGTAAGTACAGTTGACAATTAATTATTTACATGAATTTTAAATGTTATAAAACAAAAAAAAGAGTGAGTGTCAAACATTGTGAAAAGCAACAATTCTTACAGTAATTACTTATTTTAGCTTTGACAGCTTAAAATCTTAATAAAATTGAGACAAATCAGTTTTATCTATACTGTTATATCTTTATCTAATATATAAATCTACAGTGATTTTTATGGATGTTATAAATACTGAAACATGCATCCGATTGACTTGAAACTTGGTATCCATGTAGAAAAGGATAGGCTAATATTTATATGAGTGTTGGACTCCCTGATAATAATGAGAATAAATAATAATGTTAATTTTAAATGCCCAGCAAAGCGGGCGAGTATGGCTAGTTTATTTATACATAAGAAAAACAACAACAGAAATTAATAGTAGTATTAAAGTTTCTGTCCTCATTCAAATGAGGTTTGAGGAGAGTACTCAGGAGTAAAAAGCAGTTTGGCTTAAATAAATATATACTAAATTGATTCATAAGTGCTGTAGCTGAAATAATCGCTTAGTATAGAATCTGCTAGCCAACCCAAATTTGAGGGATAACTGCAACAAAACTATTAGTGGAAGTATTGTTACTGGTGGTAGGACCTCTTGGGTCCGCGCGGGTAGGTACCACCGCCCTGCCTATTTCTGCCGTGAAGCAATAATGCGCTTCGGTCTAAAGGGTAGCGCAGCCGTTGTAACTATATGTACTTGAAACCTTAGAACCTATATCTCAAGGTGGGTGGCGCATTTACGTTGTAGATGACTATGGGCTCCAGTAACCATTTAACACGAGGTGGGCTGTGAGCTCGTCCACCCATCTAAGCAATAAAAAAATTTAATTGTTACAGAATTTTTTTATCGTCCAAAATTAAAATAACAATTTTTAAATACCATAAACGCAATGAGGGAAACGAATAAAAAAAAAGTGTTAAATAGTAATACAAGTACAAAGATAATAAATACAAATTCTTTTAACGAGAGTAAAGATAAATATTTAGTGACGTCGAGTGATTGCAATGAGTCTTTTAATTTATTTGAAGACATTCACCGATCGTTAATTTCAGTTGAAAACGTACCAATTAACGAACATTCATAATGGTATAATATGATTCACAGTTACAGATATAAAATTGAGGTTATGTTACGTTAACTGTAATTAACGAAATGAAATACGAATATTATTTATTATGGCATTACTAAAATTGGACACGCCCAATATTAATTTTTTTGCAAGGGACATAATAATATGTACGCAATTATTTTCGTTACTCACATGGATGAAGAGCTCGCGGCTCACCCGAACTTAAATGTTCACCGGAGCCTTTAGACATCAACAACTTAAAACCCACTTTGAGACATGAGTTGTAAGTACCAATTTTACAGTGCAACGGCTGCCCCACCCGTCAAACCGAAACGCATTACTGCTTCACGGCAGAAATAGGCAGGGTGGTGGTGGTACCTACCCATGCGGGTTTACAAGACGTCCTACTACCGCTATGTAAAATTATGCTAGTTTGAAATAATGAGATGAGTAAATAGCAGTTATGCGTTTTAGTTTAAAATGTAGGATAACCATCATTGTTTCAGAGTGAGACAAATTACTAGGATTCACGTTCCCTGATCCTAAGGGATCCCTTTCAGGAATTGTGTTAGCACCCGTAGAATACATTCCATCCATACGCAAAACAAGACTATGGTGATCATTGTATAAAATTAATACACCAGCCACGACAATTACCTAGTCGAAAAATACTAAACTAAAAGACAAACCAATCGGGCTGAAGAAGAAAAATAGGTCATTAATATTGTAAATTAAATCATTTTCATTTGAAATCAACAGATAGCCCGCGAGCACGGTATCCGCTTCATGGAGACGTCGGCTAAAGCGAACATAAATATAGACAGAGCTTTCTCGGAACTAGCGGAGGCTATACTCGACAAGACGGCGGGGCGCGAGGCAGACGCCGACCACTCCCGCATCGCGGTCGAGCGCCGCCCCTCCCGCGCCCCGCCCTCGCGCGCCTGCTGCACATAGGCACGCACTCGTCAGCACTCACTCGACAGCAAGAACAATGGCATAAACCCAAAACAAACAAAAATAAACCCTATTACAACATCGTTAACACACACGCATACAGGGTGTAAGAAATACCCTGTCTGATCCTGTAAGGGCACAATCATCGGAAGTAATTTGAAATACTCCGTTATTCTGGGAACGCCAACTAGGGATTCTCGTTGACATTGACAAGAAATATGTCACAAAATTTACATCGCATTTTTCAATTGTGTTCCCGAAAACGAGAAAGTCGTTAAAAAGTACATGCTGTATTTAGATGCGGTATTTGAAACCGCAGCTATTACCGTCACCGGCTAAAAAGTCCTAGTGTCAGTGCCTTTGCAGATCTAATCGCGCTCAACTGTTTGCAGTCATTGTTCAATTTAATTCAATTCATGTATACTTCATTCATGTATCACATTTTTTATTAAACTAATAATTTGTATTTTAAATGGAACTTTATATACATCTGCACTCACGGTTTGTTACAGTTTCTGTTACACCCTGTATTTACGAATGTATGATGCGAACTGTCTATAATCATCGTTTAAAACATAGACAGTTCAGACAGAACAGTTCATAGACGTTTCTTATAAGCTATATTATTAATGCTTCTAAATGATGTGTCACTTCATATTGAATTCTTATACAAATTCTGCACACATTATGTACAATTTGAAATTCTCATCCACCCACATGAATCATTTCCTTAATACGTTAATTAGTAATTGTCTCGTGATTACATTTGGCTAAGGATATAAATATTTTATAAGTACATATATTGCTTTGTGTGTTTAGACTATTAGACCTTAGAGTTTCGATTTTTAATGCATATTACGTACTCAATTAAAAGGAAAGCATTTTTATGTTTTGTAACATTGGATGTACATAGCGATTTAAAAAAAAAATCATAAATACCAAAATTAAAACGTAAATTTAGAGACATATTTAAACTGAATATTGTATGCTACGGCATTTACACTACGTTCTTAATGGATGCTGCCAGTCCAGCGCGCAATGTATCGATAATTATGTAATCAGATAATTCTCGTTTCTATAGTTGTAAGTTGAATTAATGTGCATATTCATGAATAGCTTATAGGAGGAATTACAAAATATTCACTAACGTTGCCCGGTAAGCATTAGTGTGCATACAATAACCACTAGACTAAAACTGCTATTGAAGCTTTGTTCGTCCTTTTCTAACGATCGCATTAGAGCGAGACGGAGGATCTGGCCGGCAGCGCGCCCGCCAGCCGGTGCTGCGAGGTCAGTGAACCCGGCACGTGCATGTGTGTCAGTCTATCGTTGGCTTTCGTCCTGACAGTACCGCGGTGCGCACGACCTGCTCGTGGTCTATATATTATATCGACGCCTTTATATTATTAAATTTTTTTCAATTTCGTTTTCGACTTATCTGTACAAGCTTTTTAATGAATTAAAGAAATATTAATATTACTTTCTAGAAATGGTTCTGAGTTAAATATTCATATTATTCTTGCTAAGTCTCAAACCGTATGCTACATATTTCGTCTGTGAAGTCGTGACGTTTTATTGTCAATGTATAGGATTTAAAGCTTACCGACGATGTTGGAACGTCATCGATCATGCACCATTACCTTCGTATGGTGTGTGACGTTCTAATTACGACGTTAGAAGTTAGCACGTAGACTTAGATTACGGTGGAGTTAGAATGCTGTTTAGTCATTTCATCATTGTGTAGTCATCAGTGTGTTACGCACACCCCTACTGCAGCGTCTGCTCGACCAATAGCGAGCTACTGCACGTTGTCGACAGATGGCGTTAGTTGCCTTTTGAGGTTATGATGCTAATCGCGTTTGAAACGGGGTTTTAATCGACAAAAGCTGAAACACTAAAGACATTTTAGCTTAAGAAATCTGTAGAAAAACAAATCTGATATCTCATCCAAGGAGGATGAAAATGAGGCCACGTATAAATATGCGGATGGAAAAAAACTCAAAGAATTTTCGTGCAATAATTACATAATATTTTAACATAATTTAAACAAGACGTTCAGCTCGCATGCAAATTATTTTATCTAGTGCTTGTTGTTATTCATATAGAGTTAATTCTTTATAAAATTTATAAAGGAAGGAATTCTTATCTTCAGTTATCATATGTCGATCTAAACACGTATTTCCTATACTGGGTATTAGGAGACCGCTTCCGAAAACGAAGACGGAAAAAAAAATCGATCCTGATAAAAAAACGTTTTATTAAAATTATTTACGCAGTCTCGTGTGAGTACAGCTAAATGAAAGGATAGTTTTATAAAAAAAATACATTATTTTAATCAAAAAAAGAACCAGCAATGAAACACAAAGTCAAAAACAGCTGATGCTCGGATCAATGAACGCCCGGGCGCGGCGTTTCTTTTACATGCACACCGGCGCGGCGCTGATACGGCGCTCCCCAAAGTTTGCTTTGTTTACTATCGGCTGTCTTCGTTTTCGGAAGCGGTCTCCTAACACCCAGTATACCTATGTATTGTTCATTTACATTAACATTGTTCACGTATAACATATCTAGACGTTGCTGCTGGTTACGGTTCAATTGGTTCGGTTAACTTTTACATTTTTATATTAAAGTATGATTGAAAATTAGTGGTTCGCGTCAAAAGTAAAAAAAAACTGTTTAATGTAGAATGTGATTTGGATTTTCTGTAGATATATATTAAAGCACAATTAACGCTTGTTTTTTTATGTATCCTACGGCCCACATGATGGTGAGTGGTTACCGTCGCCCATGGACTTCAGCAATGCCAAGGGCCGAGCCAAGCCGCTGCCTACCGTTAAGTGCTGCCCACAAGCCTCTATTGAAGGAGGATATGTCATTTCGCTCGGGAAACACCGTGGAGGAGAGCTCATTCCAAAGCTGGATGGTACGTGGCAAAAAAATTCTCTGGAAGTGCACTGTGGATGACCGCAGTGGCTCCAGGTAGTATGGATGAACTCTACTCCGGCAGCGGGCGGTGCAATGAAACAGTTTTAACCAAATAAGCATTTACCTAAATATATAAACAGCAATTTCAAGTCACATTCTATATAAGTGTGTATGTAATTAAACCTGGGACTTTAGCTTACTGATGTAGGATTACAGAAAGGCAAATATATAATCGTGCGGTGAATGTGTCGTCGGTTTTACATGCTTTTTATAAACGAACCTCGGCATTGTATATTATGTTTATATTAAAATACTTATCGTAAAAATCGACTTTTCTTTTCAATCCTGTTTAAAAATACGATTCCAGGCACAAACAACGTTATTTTGAATAAATGTCGGGTAGTCGGGTCGCTGAGTTTGAGATTGGAGAATCTTTTGCGTTATAATTGTAAGATGTAAAATATATTTTCAGTTTAATTTGACGCAAGGTAAGATTCTTGGTCTACGTAGTATGTGAGTAGTGTGGTTATGGTCTCCCATAGATGCCAGAAATTCAAACCAACAAAATATACAACATATTCATAAGTTCTTATACGTGGTTCAGTATGGTTTAAAGGACTTGTTGGAAATGAATGATAAGAAGCTAACCGTGTTATTGACTATGACTGTTCCAATAAACTATCGTTTATCAGTTGTGTCACAGGTCACGGATAGCGGACAGTTGCGCCTCAGACGTAGCCTCATGAACACAGTACAACAGTTCAATTCAATATGTCTTGGATAAGTTTTGCGTTGTTAACATTTTGGTTTCAATTAGCCGAATTTACTGATCGTAAGTACATTTTTGGCTTTAATGTTCAGTAATTTTTCAAGTTTATTATTCTCTATATATATATATATATAACTGCTAACGTTCGTACGAGACTCGATTCAGAGCGTTGGTCATAGCTTTTTAATCACGGGCCACAATTGATGTCAGAATTTGCAATAACAACATAGAAAAGGATGAAAATCGGCTGTTAAATTACCTTTTTTTTGGGCAAAAATGCTCGTATTCTCCTTATTCCAAAATATGTCAAACAAATATAATTGTGTTATGGTCGCAGACTAGTGGTACCTACTAATTCGAATTGTGTTTTTATTGGTTTAAATAATAAACAATATCAAATCTAAATTTAGAGGAAGGCTTACCAAGTGAAATAAAAAACAGTAAGACCAAAACAGAAAATTAAATTATCGTGGTCATCCGTGGCCACGAAAGTAAACAATTTTTATTTTTATAATTAATTTAATAAAGCACAACATTGAGATGCACATTTCGCCTTAAATGATTAGGTTAATAAAAAATAGCTTAAAGTGGTAGTACCTACCTATTAAATTTTTACAGCGCCGTGCCTGATAGATCTGGAATGTGCGGAATGCATTCCCGATAACATGCCCTTAGTGACGTCACATCGAGCTACGAACGGCACCTTCAGGATTGCGTCAGGCGATGAAGTGGTGCTGGCATGTTACGGAGGCAAGTTCCTGATGTACCCGCTGCAGGAGACCTTAACCACTGTCTGTGAGATAGGTCGTTTTAGAGTGCGCAAGGATGCGAAGTTGCGCCATTTGCTCGAGCTGGGTTGCCAGGAAAGTGTTTTCGAGGATGTCTTGCATTCGGTATGTGGTGTTGAGTGTTAACGGAGCGGATAGTAATATTTTTCACTTAATTAGACATGCTATTAGAGATGAAGTGATTTTGTAGTGATATTATGTTATTATAGTGAATATTTGTTAAAAACTATTTCATTAAGAAAAATTATACCTGCCTGCGAGATTCGAACACGGGCAGTCACATCGCTTGATACGAATGAGTCGGGCTTCTTATCCTTAAATATTAACTACTAGCTGTGCCTGCGACTTCGTCCGCATGGAATTTATCAAAACATTAATTTATAATAGTTTTAGAATTTTTCTAACAGACAAACAGACAGACAGACATAAATTACGAAAAGGTTATTTTGGTACATGTACCGTATACATTCATATGAATGTAGTAAATAGCGGTTACTTTAATATTGAAAAAGACACTTCAATTTTATTTATTTGTATAGATTATGTCTTATCCTTTAGGCCCTGACAACTTCAAATTTTTTAATGAAATTCTTCAAATTTATTTTCAGATTTAATAAAAGCCAAGTTTAATCTTTCACATAATGATCATTAATTATATTTATCACATTATGTAGAATATGAATCTTGGTCTTAGTGTAAACTGAGGTTAGGTACATTCACAGGTTGAGCATTGCGGAGCTCCATTTCAAGGTCGTGCGTACCAGACTCAGGAGCCAGGCTCACGCAGCGTGCGCCATCTCGCCACCGTCTGCTTCGACGAGGACCGCGCCATCGCCCTCCGACTCCACATCACAAACGCACCCAGGAACCATCTCCGCATGGCTCCCCACACCGAACATACGGGCCCACTCAGCATTCTTGGCAACTTTAACCACATGTTCGACGCAAAAACTCGTCACGACGCAGAAAAACTTTACTCAGACGACGTCAGGATGAACAAACGACTTCATGAACTTTTGAAGCACGACAAATTCTCGTTTGCGGATCAAAGTCTGACTTCAGCTAAAATTCTGAGCAGCCATTACTTCGACGATCAAAACATGAGAGTGACTGATTTCGTATCGAACAGGATCGCGGTGTGGAGGAGCGTGGCTCGGGGCAACTTGCGCAGTCTGCATCAGGACGTCGCCAAGTTCCTGGAGTCCATGCGGTCGCAGGCCGAGGTGCACCTGTACAGCGGCACGCACGGGGTGCTGGCCTTGAGGACGGGGCACCAGCCCACCGAGATATTCCTCAAGGCCGGGCGCAGGTTCCCCGTGCCTAAGTACATCTGGACAGTGGTCCACGTCAAGGAGCACAAGACCGCGACGGCGATCGTCGTACTGAACGACCCGTACGTCGCCGTTAGCGAAATTAGGAGCACAGTATTCTGCGAGAGCGCTTGCGGAAGCATTCCCTGGCTCCACGAGCTGAGGAGAAACCGCAACTACGAGAGTCCGGTCAACGGCTTGGTGTTCTGCTGCGACTTCCGAAGCTTCACCGATGTGGTGACGGAAATGCCGAAAGATTTACTGGAGGTGCTTCCCGGGGTCGCAGGAATGTTGACTAATAAATTTCCAATGAACTAATGTAATGTAAATGAGACACCTTAGTGATGATAAGAGTTTATTAAAAAACGTATCATAGACAATTGTTTTGATTTAATCTACCCTTAATCCTTTTCAGCGATTGCCGTGAGATGTCTGTCGATTTCAGTTTCAGTCAACACCCTGGAAATATATAAATTTTACATGGAAAGCAATATGCAATTTTTTAAATTAAGAATAGTTCAGAAATTAAAAATAGTTTTGAAATTGAACTCTAAAATTCATTAAGTCATTCAATTCAGTATTCATCTACTTAACGGAGTAATACTTAAACAAAAAAATGTTTAGGTACAGATAAATATATGTAAGGTACACATAAGTTTCATAAAAATAATTGACATCATAATATTATAACATACAAAAATGCCAAGGAAAAATATAGAACTTACATAAATAAAGAATAATATGTTAAATTGATACAGAATAAAATGAGTAATTATTTATATTATTATTATTGATAGATTTTCGAAAAGTAATAATCTTTATTTTAAATACTGCAATACAAATTCAACCACCCAATTTTCCACTTTGAGTTAAGATTAGTACACTCATTTTTATGTCAGTTTATAATCTTTGGTCTTTGGTTAATCTGAAGTCGTCGTGGTCTAACGGATAAGACGTCCGGTGCATTCGCGTTGAGCGCGATGCACCAGTGTTCGAATCCCGCAGGCGGGTACCAATTTTTCTAATGAAATACGTACTCAACAAATGTTCACGATTGACTTCCACGGTGAAGGAATAACATCGTGTAATAAAAGTGAAACCCGCAAAATTATAATTTGCGTAATTACTGGTGGTAGGACCTGTTGTGAGTCCGCGCGGGTAGGTACCACCGCCCTGTCTATTTCTGCTGTGAAGCAGTAATGCGTTTCGGTTTGAAGGGTGGGGCAGCTGTTGTAACTATACTGAGACCTTACAACTTATATCTCAAGGTGGGTGGCGCATTTACGTTGTAGATGTCTATGGGCTCCAGTAACCACTTAACACCAGGTGGGCTGTGAGCTCGTCCACACATCTAAGCAATAAAAAAAAAAATTATAATCTTTGGGTAAAATAACTTCATGTTAAAAAAACTAACATAAAGACATCACTGAACTAAAAAAGTGTATCTGAGATATTACTGTAATAAATGCAATAGTGTTATTACAATGTTCAATGTTTATTGATACTCACCGAAACTTAGGATTATCTTTGCTGACAACACCAATCTCAATCTCGGAGGACTTGAAGTCGACAGACAACACTTGAGACAGACAAGAGATGGCAAGCTGAATCGCGTCATCAGTGCTGAGGTCCGAGCGTTTTTTTAGTTTCTTTTCGAGATAAGCGTTTCCATCAACTGTCTTAGCACCAGCAGCTACAGCTTTATAGGAGCAGTAGTAGCCGGAGGGGTCTGTTTTGTACACACAGGGCCCGGCTTCATCATCATACGCTATCAGCATCATACCTGAAAATTAAAAAAATATATATTATACACATTAGATTATTTTTCTTTCATTTTCAACAGCACCAGTCTTACATCTAGTGTAATAATTGATTACATACTAACCAAACCAGATATCCTAACTAGTTATGTTGCAAAACAGAAACAAGTCCCTTAAGAGATAGGTTTGAAATTTTAATTACATTGGATTAATGGATTTTTTTGGGATGGCTAGATAACAGTTGGCTTGAAGGCCTTTCTTACTTCACTAGGATGAGTATAAAATTACTAAGGGTACTTCTTTCATCTTCAATTCTTGAAAATGCATGATGATTATCAGCACAGGCAGGATGGTTGATCAATCAATCTGTGTAGACTCAGAATATAAAGTGCTATCAGTATTTGTAGGATTTTTTTTTATTTACTGCGTAGATGAATGAATGAGCTTTGCACCTGGTGTAAAATGACTACTGGACATAGATATTGCATTCTATAACTGATGTTAAATACCAGACAATGTGACTGTTTTACAGAAAAAAGTAGTGCCTACCCCTGAAGGCTTACAATACACATAACACCAGTTCAATGAGGGTTAGGTAATTTCAAAAAGATACACTATACTCAGATCACACACCCAGTTGATCAATATAATAGCTAGATTATAAACTAATATAATATAAGATAATAACAATATATCCTTTGGTATAGTTAATGATTTATCTGTTTTTGTGATGGTATTAGTAACAATTGTGTTGAAATAATAATTTTACTTACTGCAACCCAGAGGTCTCATCTCCGCATTTTGGGTGTAAACTTGAGAGATATCAGCTATGCGTCTGCATAAGATATGCACAGGTATCTCGGACCCATACTTGTACTGCCAGTTGGCAGCCTCGTAGCGAGCTCGTTGTACTTGAGACCGGCTATCAGCTATTATGCAAGATAATAAGATCGATTGGATTTTGGCACTTACAACACCCCTCAAAGATGTAACATAATAGAATGAGAATGTGTGACATTTTCAGGTAATGGCTATAATTAAAGAAATACCATTATAATGTGGAAAAAAATTCTATTCATTTTTATAATCAAGGTGAAAATTATAAACTAAATTGACTTTGGACCATCACTTGAACACAGAGGAGAGGACTTGTGATACAGAAGACATTAGCTCTCAGTTCTTACCAATCATCCCGGTCATGACACATCCAATTCTATCAGTAAGAGCAAATAGATGAGTAACAGAGGCAGGATCAAGTAGTCTGTCTGGGACCTTGCGTTGAGCTGCCACTACAGCTGCATCTGTACCGCGTAATGCCACAGATGTCAACCCACCCTGGTTTATAGCTTTCAATGCATATTCTGAAAGGGTAAATAAAAAAAATTACTGAAAAAAGCTGTTAGAACATATTGAACATACATAATAGTATATGATGATAATAGGCCAGGGCTTAACTAGTTTTATGTGGTTATTGGACCTCATAATTGCAACATAGTGATGATTATTCCCATTTTACTGAAGGTAACAGCATTGCTCCAACAAGAAAGCACAATTGCTAGATGGCAGAAATAGGAAGGACTTCGGTTCGATGTCGTGTGTCGATAGGCACATATATGATAACATTATTCTGTTCTCCCTATTTCTGCCACGGATGGAGAAGTTATATTCAAAATTCTCTAACCTCTACTATTTTTTTATAAATTTGGTCCAAGAACCTATTGGCAGCATGACTATTCATTTTTCATTTAAGAATTATTGTTACGTTCTTGTAACATATAAACAAACGCATTCGTTATACAATAAAGGCATAAATACTAATTTCTAACATTTAATAAAGAAATTCAGGCAAAATAACAAACTTCGTTTAGCATGATGGTAAAATTCATGATTTTTCACATAACTTACCAACTTGATACAGTCTTCCCTCAGGTGAAAAGATAGTAATATGTCTGTCGAATCCGGCACTGCTTTCTCGAGCCATTCTATTTATTCAATATCAAAAATAAGATTAAAATTTACAAAATTCTACAATGCAACTTTGACAGCCGACAAAAATTATGTTTGACAATTTAGCCAATTTTTCAAATCTAAAATATCATCAATCCTGTTCTCGCTAGTCATGGAAAAAAAAATACAAATAAATTTGAGCAAAGGAAACAAAATTTTACTTTTTGACCTCTATTTTACGAAAATTACTCTGTGAGTAGTTAGGTAGGTATACTATCAAATCGTATTTGAAGTTTATTTTTTACAGCCAAAGATATGTACCTATGTAAGTATGCATTCCATATCCATTGCACTCGCAGTGAATTTCTGTCACTCTATTCAATTTATCAAACATGTACAATACAATGCAATTCTACAATAAAATACATTTTAGTGCTTCCAAAAGAGTTTATTTGGACTTTTTTATGAGAAAGCCAGAAGTTCTTTCTTCAGATTTAAGCACGCAGTAATAACAACTTTTCAACTGTTTAGCATCTACAAAATAGTACAAGTGAGGGAAAATTAAACAAAGTCACTGTCCGTGACTTCTTAGATTCTACCACAAATACTCATTCAAATCTTTATAAATTTCCATAATTTTACTTTGCCTTTATATTATTTCATAACATTTTATTTTTATTTTTTTCATTCCCATTGATTACAAATTCAAATAACCTACTTTGTTCGTTACACTATATTACTAATTTAACAAAATGTAATAATTTGGTATCGCAAGAAACCGAATGCTACACTGAAAGAAGAAGATAAAGAATCCGTTTTGAAGGAAATTGTTAACAATTAAACATTTATTTAAAAATTCTGTTCATTTTTTCTTTTTTTGGCTGTCTTTTCTTCATAAAGTATAATGCACTACCATTATTTTCTGGCCTTTAGCATTATCGTTTGCCTTATGATTCTCATGCCTGTGAAAATGTACAAAACAAACAAAATAAAGTATCTATGTTCAGTTGTTGACAGTTAATTGTGTGTGAAGGTTGTGTGATTTAAATTTAGTTTCCGTTTATTTTCTCGAGATTTTCTTTTAAATTATTTTAAAAGAAAAGGATTGCGAAATCAATAAAATCTACTATAGATATATAATTTTGATATCCTTCTGTAATTATACACAGTTTTTTTTCCAAATACATAATGCAAGAAACCGTTGCAAATAATAACGAAAGAAAATCACTGTTTTCGTCGTTCTTAGAAGTTTTGGAAGCTAGGGAGAAACATGCTCAAGTAGATAGAGAGCTACAAGAGGAGAAATACCTCAGGAGGACACAGAGAATATACGATTTCCACGGTAATTAAACATATAAGTTGTGTTTGCCGATAGTTATCAAATCTGGTTTTGAATATTTCAGTCCGACAGTTTAACGACATTTTTGCATAATTTAAATTTTTTTTATTGAGTTGATCCGTTAACGGATTTCGGCGGCCAGTTATTAAAAGTTAATAAATACCTATTGGGTCTGATTTTTCAAAATTTCTAATCAATTTGAATGTTGAATACATTTTCTACAAAAATAATTGAAGTGCAATGTTAAAGTCGAATAGAATTTGTTGTTTCTGGGTTTATGTATTACTATTATTATTCTTCTTTTTTTATTACTCTTTATTACTCTTTTTTATTTATTACTTAAAAGGGTGGACGAGCTCACTGCCCACCAGGTGTTAAGTGGTAACCATAGATATCTACAACGTAAATGCTGCCACCCACCTTGAGACATGAATTCTAAGGTCTCGCTTTTAATCAACACACAACAATCAACACAATTCTTGAATATACCATACATAGTCAGATGCTCATTTCTTAACATATCATATTCCATATACCATAAGCCTATGTCATTTATCATCATGCATTCCACCTGAATTTGCCATTAATTTAATTCACCACATTCATCACTTTTCTCAATAAGAGAAATAAAGGGTTTCATAAAGTTTCATTAACTTTTTGCACAAATCACATTAACATAATTATTATATTTTTTATAGCTTAAATAGGTAGACAAGATCACGGCCCACCTGGTGTTAAGTGGTAACCGGAGCCTATAGACATTTACAACATAAATGCTGCCACCTACCTCGACACATGAGTCTCAGTTTGAACATTACAATGGCTGCCCCACCTTTCAAACTGAAACGCATTACTGCTTCACAGCAGAAATAGGTGGGGCGGTGGTACCTACCGTGATTCTTATGTATTTTTACTTATTATTGGGTTCCCAACCTCTGCTAATACTTGTTCAGATTAATGACTTACAGAAACCTGATTTTTAAATGTGGTCCTATAGATCAGTTACATAAGACCTTTCATATTTTTAAAGTCGATATCTAGAATAAACTTTTGCCCCTATAGTGCTGTAGTTAGGGGGAGGGTGATGGGAGAGATGTGCTCGGCACTAAACACTTCGCTTTCCCTCCTTTGCCTTTTCATGAGTTCTGAGTCATGCAAGGTTTGGACGTGGTTTGTTGAGCGACAGGAGGTTTTAGTCAGTTCGACTCCGACATCCCCCATCCTCTATCCCCAGTGGAGGGTGGAAGTCCGGCGATTTCCTCCTAAGAGAAAAAAGAAGTTGCAGATTTATTTTGTTCGTCAGAGCGTCAACGTCGTGAGGCGGTTGAGCTACGGCGTTGTCTGGACTACGTGTCTCAACATGCGCACGTGTTGGAGACGGTGCTGAGGGGCGCCAGTACGGGTGTAGGTGAAGTTCCACTGAGTGCCGCGCTCGTGAGGCAAGCGGCGGCCCTCCAGCGCTGCATGTCACAGTGCGTCGCTAACGCGTCCAGGATCCGCCAACTGCTGACGGCGACGCACCAACCGCAGATGGACTCCGTTTTAGCCAAAATGGTGAGTGCCTTTTAAATGATATTCAATTTAAAAATAATAATAATTGCAGTGATGTTTCAGTCACTTATACAGCCAGACTAGCAAGTACTATATAAATAGCAAAATTACACTCAATTTATTCGTGATTTTTTTATCTAATTTACTTTAACTGCTAAAAAACATCCTGCGTGATTAGTGCGAGTTTTTTAACGTTATCGATAGCGTAAAAGTTAACTTAAATTTGCATGCAGTTCGAACAGCGCCCCCAGCGGCAAACGTAGGCAAACGTTCCAACTCCATACAAATTTGAGTTAACTTTCACGCTATCGAGAACGTTAAAAAACTCGTACTAAGCACACAGTGGACGAACAACGCGAACACCAGATCGTTTCTCTCTAGAACAGAACGCTACTACTACAATTGACGACGAATCCGATAGCAGTATTAGGAGGATTAACACGGATATCACAATAGACAATAGTATACCCGTGTTCTCTGTCAAACAATCTATAGACCATAAAATGAAATAGAAAAAAAAAAAGAAAAAAAATTGCGTGTCACTGAACTGTCTATTCTAGAATCTAAAACATATTAATAGAGTGAACTACACGACGTGCTGAACGTATTTCGTCTGATGGCACAAAATTAAATCACGCAAGTTCATTGCTTCCAACTGCTATTGTTATCGTAACGTAATTTTATCTTACGTCGATCCAGTACATTCACGTTTATTCCAAACAAAACTGTAATCGATCTAAAGAGTTTGTGGCTAGTGCACACACCGAGGTAGTTAAGTTAGTACAAGTGGCCAAAAAATATGTTCGTTCCTACTTACAGGGTTCAAAAAACTCCGCGACGGAAAACTAACTACTCATACATTAAGCTATTTGTTACCTTAATGTTTTTAATTCGAATCGAGAATCCTAACTGTAAAATTAATTTCAAATCTATTGATGTTTTTTCCTGTACAAAGTTAGCATTATCTAACATTGAGTTTGGAACAAAACACCATAACAAATGTAATCCCTAGTCACATTTTATATACCTATCGAATTTATTTTCGTAGAAATGTTTTTTTATATTTTACTAACGTAGACAGACTAAACTGTCTATACATCCGTAATGCTGGGGGCATAATCGAGCGCAGCTCATTGGATAAAAGTTTTTGCTTAAAATCTTGTTTGCAAAAGAGCGGCGTCATGACCGCTAATTTTGCATTATTGTCCCAGATGAGGAATTACCATTATAAATACTGTTTGATTCACCAAGTTTAACTACAATTTTAAGTAACAGTTGTTTTTATTTGTTTATCTGTGAAAGTGATCCCTTACTACCGTAGACAATAGACAATAGGAGAGAATATCAATCAAAAGATGTGAGATTGAAGTTCTATAAAACAGACTTCTTAGCCTGCTAATCACACCGCAGTAACATTTACCTAATTTCGTAAACGTATAAATTTGACGAGTATTAATTTTATGCATTATTTTATTTTATTTTTATTTTATTTTATTTTATGTTATCTTAAATAATATAACTCCACCGGCCGTCATAAGTTTTAAGACGGACTTTTAAAATACGAGAAGAATTCGAGTATCAATATTGATTAATCAATTCAGCTTACTTCACCGTTATACACGTATAGCTGTATCCGCCCGCTTCGCTGGGCGTTTAAAATTAACATTATTATTTCTCACCCCCACAAAGATTCTCATCAATAACGCTCCAGCAACTGGTGTAGGGAGTCCAACACTCATATTAGCCTATCCATGAAGTACATGTATTTTTTACATGGATACCAAGTTTCAAGTCAATCGGATGCATGGTTCAGTAGTTATAACGGAACATCCGTACAAACCACTGTAAATTTATATATTAGTATAGATTAGCACTTCTCATAAGCCAATCCGTTAGATCAATTTAAAAAAAAAAACAGTCAAACATTACAATATCTGTAATTTATTATTTGCGTTCCATTTCACGACATATCGCCAAAGAATACATGTGTGCACAGCTGACGCAGGTTGTTGACTATGAATACCTATTTAAAATTTCTTTACATCGTCTGCAACCTAGATAACTTGTTAATGAATGAAGTATGTAACGGGAAACAAAAGTAATTATTTACCGCCCTCCTTGCTCGGCGGTGTCGCGTCCGCTGGTTCGTCTAGCCATCAAAGGTTCGTGATTGGAAACTGGAATCATATGTTTTAAGTTCGTTTGAAATCTTTGAATAGCGTAAGGACCGGCCTTTTTACAGTAAGCGACATTGCGATTTTATGTGTCATGAAAAGCCGCGTTTTAGTTCCAGTGTCCGGGCAGCATGGGTTCGGTGACCATTTGCCATTGACTCGGACCCATTATGCCTTAGGCAACCAATTTATTGTGGTACTTTAAAAATTTTGAAATTTTGTAAGTTGTAATTTTTGGCTCTTGCGACTCAAAAGGTTGCCGACCTCTGCCTCAGGTGTTATTGGTACTGACGCAAAAAAATTTTTTTCAACAAATTGTTTCTTCATCACGGAAGCTATGAAGACATGAATAAAGACTTTATAATAAAATTAGTATTAGTTCCAGGATTGAACAATAGATATATGTTAAGTCAGGGACGCTCTATGGAGTACCTAACCTTTTTTTTCTATTATACTAAAATGCGAGAGTTTAATCGTAAATAGTTTGTTTGATTTTCGTCGTTTCACTGGTGGTAGGACCTCTTGTGTGTCCGCACGGGTAGGTACCACCACCCCGCCTATTTCCGCCGTGAAGCAGTAATGCGTTTCGGTTCGAAGGATGGGGTAGCCGTTGTAACTATACTGAGACCTTAGAACTTATATCTCAAGGTGGGTGGCGCATTTACGTTGTAGATGTCTATGGGCTCCATTAACCACTTAACACCAGGTGGGCTGTGAGCTCGTCCATCCATCTAAGCAATAAAAAAAAAATCGCACATTTTCCTGCTTTGATGATCCTCCAAATTCTCGTTCGAGATAGCACCTATCAAATTACCCGAAAACATTAATTGGATGTGAATTTTAATTTGTAAACTAATTTACGATAAATCGATCAATCAATGCACTCATTACTCACACAGTTTCGTTGAATTTGTTCGTTATCATCTCATGACGTTCCGATTACAACGACGCCGTTTTGCTTTCGATTTGATTGACAAACCACCGGGCATCAATTAGAGAAGAAAATAATCTAAAAATAGAGTTTAATGAATTTAAAAACAATCGTTCAATCACTGTTTTTGTGAAATATAAATCGTTGTCGCTTTAAAGCGCTTAATAATAGAAACTTTTTGTTTTATAAATTTTAAAATAAAATTGACGCCGATCTAAATATCTTAAGATTTATTTATTTTTTCCGATTTATGTATTTTCACACATTAGCGGATTTAATGCCTAAGGCATTATCTATGGGGTCAACCAAAGGTGGTGCAGAGAGAGGATTAAGTGATGTTGTCATAAAGCTAATAATTGTGTATTAGTGTATGTATAATGTATGGCCGTATCTCGGACGTAAATGATGTCACACGTAGTGAAGTCGTTCAGATTCATTTAAGATAGATTGCGCGGCAATTAAAAAAAGTAGAATGTTCGGTTCTCAAATACACTGGATATACCGTACTTAAAGCCCATCGCTAATTGAGTAATTAATTTGAAAAAATAATTTCTATCAGCCCCTTCAAACCGAAGTGGGTGATTGCTACTTGGTAAAAATAGGTATAACTATCACTGTTACCTATTGGTAATGTTAGATAGAGCCTAGGCCATGTCCCTAGTATAGCTGATGTGTACTGCTATTACTATACTATAAAAAAAAACAAGAAATTATGTTAATATTCTGTTAAAAACCTAAAATACGAATGAGAACACCCTAATCACTCTTAACAGACTTGACACGTTTCAGAACCGAAATATTATTGATGATCATTGAACATGCAATATGTTATTTAACCTCCAATCGTTAAAAAAAAAAGTCGTACAAGTCTTATTTAAAATAAAATTTTAAAATGTATAAATATATAGACTGTTTTCTTTTTTTTTTCCTACTTAAGCTGATAGCCTTGATTGGCTATGTCCGCGTAACCTAACAAGTAGGTGAGCTCACGGGGCTCAAACCTGACGACGTTGCTAACACTTACCCTAGCAAGAGCAGTGCTCTGCAGAATCTACCACCGGATTGGAAACGCGACCCACTGAAAGGATCCGACGAGAAACTCAGTGGGTTGTGTCTGTGGGTTAATTTACTCGCCGAGCCCTTCGTCGGAAGCGACGGGTTCGACGAGAACGATGACCGGTGATTGAGGTACCTGAAAACACCGTTAGTCGATCGGCAGGTTCCGAAATGACGTGTTGACATTTTCATTGTATCACATGTGGAGAATTCACAAAAACTTGCAAAATTCAAACGTGTCCTTGTTTTGTTTGTATTGTACTCGCGATTGTTAATTCTCACAGTGCACCGGTAATTCTAAGGTCGAGATGCAATTAAAGTCACACTGGCACACTGTTGAGTGTCGGCTAGTTTAGAGCACGAATGCGGCCTGTGTGCTTAATGCAATTTTTTTAACTTCTCGATCGGGTAAAAGTTAACTCAAATTAGTATGGGGTTGGTGCAGCGCCCCTAGCGGCAAACGTAGAAAAGTCCAGTCCAGTTCCAACTCTATACAAAGTTAACTTTTACGCGATCGAGAAGTTAAAAAACTCTCACTAAGTACACTGGACTATTGAAAACGCCATTGGCCGATAACATTGAAAATGCAATAGAGATCGGATATCCAGGTTAATAGCTTTTCAAATTGAACTTTTCGAATAAATGTGAAAGTGCATAAATGTGAGAAAATAAAACAAAGCCGCTAAACGTAACTTCTCGGGATCCTCCAAAAAGTCCACTAAAAAAGTCTCAGTAAATGACCACCATTTTACTGAGATTATATTTCATCNCGCCATTGGTCGATAACATTGAAAATGCAATAGAGATCGGATATCCAGGTTAATAGCTTTTCAAATTGAACT